CCAAATATGTCTGTATTTAATTGTATTTAAACTTAAATACTTTTAGAAGAGTGACCTATGTAATGCTGCTTTTGAAACATGGCAATTTAAGGTAACATCAAGAAAGCTAGTAAACCAAGTAGTGATGCTAAGATTAAAACACAGTGGGTGGTTTTTTTTCATGTTCACACAGGACCACATCTCCAGAAAATATTTTTACCAAAAGCCAGTAATCTGCATGAGAAATTTAAGAGAGTCTGTGAGAAGGAGGATATTTGTTACCTCTCTCTTACCACATGAAGAGGGAAAAGAACAATAAGCACAAAAAGTTAACCAAGAGCCAGCAATGTGTCCTTGAGGCCAAGAAGGCCAATGGCATCCTGGGGTGCATTAAGAAGAGTGGTCAGCAGGTTGAGGGAGGTTCTCCTCCCCCTCTACTCTGCCCTGGTGAGGCCACATCTGGAATACTGTGTCCAGTTGTGAGCTCCCCAGTTCACAAAAGACAAGGAACTACTGGAGAGAGTCCAGCAGAAGACTACGAAGATGATGAGGGGACTGGGACATCTCTTTAATGTGGAAAGGCTGTGAGACCTGGCTCTGTTTAGCCGGGAGAAGAGTTGACTGAGGGGATCTTATCAATGCTTATGAATATCTAAAGGGTGGGTGCCAAGCGAATGAGGCCAGACTCTTTTCAGTGGTGCCCAGCAAAAGGACAAGAGGCAACAGGCACAAACTGGAACACAGGAAGTTCAAGCTGAACATGAGGAAAAATTTCTTCATCTTGAGGGTGACAGAGCACTGGAACAAGCTGCCCAAAAAGGTTGTGGAGTCTCCTTCTCTGGAGACATTAAAAACCTGCCTGGATGCGATCTTGTGCAACTTGCTGTAGGTGAACCTGCTTTAGCAGAGCGTTGGACTAGACGATCTCCAGAGGTCACTTCCAACCCCTGTCAGCCTGTGATTCTGATACAAAAGTCAAAATAATTGGTCAGTATCAGTAGAGTTTTAGGATTAATTCACATTTGTCTTAAACAAAAAGCCTTAATCACCATGTTTATCTAAAACAAAAACATTGGGCCAAGATGTTGTGAATCTTAATTACAGGGAAGAGGGAAGAAAAAAATAAAACAAAACAAAACAAAAAGCTTTGGCTCTGCCACAGATTTTCTGAATGCTGCACAAGACCTACCTGTTCCAGTCTATGCCCATTCACTTTATTTCATTGTCTCATACCACTGGGAAGACTTATTTTTGCATGTAAGCATCAGAAGTGAAGAACAAAAGAAATCCCATAACCCAATTTGCAATCAGAAAGTGCTGGCTGATGTCCTATGTTCTACATCAGCTTCTAAGAACTGATCTCACACTGCCACTACACTGTTCTTCAAAGCGGTCTCATAAAAAACTCTCAAAGGCAATGTCAAATTCCAATCTATATCTCAAAGAATAGCAGAAGAAACTTTGCTCCTGATGATTTTCACCAATACTTCTTTCTTCTGCCTGAGCTACGACTGCAAATCTTTATTTTCACCAATCTGCCTCCAGCATACCAAAATGTGTATTTGTTCAGCTCACTTCATAAAAGGCCTAAAACAATTAGATTAAATGAGTTTTTGTCTTAAAGTATCAAAATCAAAAGAAGGGACTTAAACAAAATCTGTGCCTACAATACCTACTAGATAAATGCTGTCTGTGAGTTGCACGGTACTGGTTGCTTCTTGCTGCTATTACTTATCTCAGCTTCCATTATTCTGATGATATGTACATGACATTAATGTGTATGACACTGACCTTGGCCCAGAAAACTTCTCTGGTAGAAAGAGCCACATAACAAATCCAGAACTGCTATGGTTTTCAAGTGGAAAAAAAGCTTCTTTGGCTTTTAAAGGCATTGTTGAACCCCAGATATTCAGCCAACAGAACATTAAATAGTTCAGTTCCTCTTCTGATCACATTCTAGTTTTAGAGCCATCCATCTCATTTTCAAGCTTTACCTCCGTAATACCAAGGATATATTTTCTCTTCTTACACATGACATAGTTGTCCATTGCCTAATGCCTACAACATCTGGAAATCCAGTATGACCACAGATCTATGTTACTGGGCTCTGGTTGGCAAGCTATGTGAAAATGCCATATCCAATCAAGCAGACTGATGATTTGCATCAGTCTAATCATCGGCTACTCCAGTTTTGGCCACTTAAAATTGTGGAACACTGACTCTGTGTTTCAAAACTGAAACGGAGACTGCAGGTTTACAAACCATTCCAGACACAGATTTAATATTAAGTTCTTGACTCCTCTACATGTTGACTAGAAGATGAAACTATGGTTATTCCTTCATTTTCAGGTTTGGAATGGATTATCCGAATGTCAAGTCTGCATATATAGATTTATAGTGCCATAATGTGAAAAACTAAAGTAAACAGACACTACTACAAACAGGAAAAATAACTTAAGATGTTTTGGGAAGAGGTTTTACAAGTTTGTAAAACAATTCAAGGCTCAGTGTATTTCAGCATTTTGAAACAAAAGGATTCAGATACAACATTTCTAAAAGTGAAGTTGCTAAGACTTTTTAGTAAAACGTACTTGAAACGAAATTACTTAGTGACACTAAATACTTTTAAATGAGTAATAGGTACATTCTAAATGTACAAGCTTTATTTACTTATTAAAAAGTCACCTATTTCAGTTAAATAAAGGAGAAAGGACTCTCTATAGAGCTTCTGAATGTCACATCTTATTACTGAAACCACATTTCACAGCACCAAAACTCCTCCAAAGAAAACAGTGTCATCCTTGAAGACTGAAATACAGATGAAACTCCATTTTACCTATAGGAGTTCACTGACATAAAGCTAGCCTTGGCTACTAACATTTCAAATATTTGCTTGATAAATCTACCAGAAATATATGAAATCAGAGTCCAGTTTTTAGCAATTAGGATTGATCTGGTTTCCCACAGTAGCCTCATCAGTAAACTGAAAAGGCATGGGTTGGAGAAATGGCCTGTTAGACGGAATGACAACACCCTGACTGCTGAGCTTCAAGAGTGGCTCAAATAGGTGGCTCAGCGTTCAGCTGGTAGCAAGTAAGGAGCACCACAAAGGCTGATATTGGAGCCAATATTATACAGTATCTTCAGCAATAACCTGGGTGATAAACAGAATGAATCCTCAGAAAATCTGTAGATGATACTCAACAAGGAAGAGTGACTGACTCTCCAAACAGAGATCCAACTCAGGTGGATCATGATAAACTTGAGGAATAAGCCAACAGGAACCTCATGAAGCGCAAAATCCTGCTCCTGGGGTGCTTCAGTGGAGCCTGGGAGCAGACCAGTTGAACAACAGCCTTACTGAGATAGATTTGGAGATCAAACTGGTTGCCAAGTTGGATACAAGCCAAGAGTCTGCTCTCATTGCACAGAGGGAAAGCCAAGAGGAGTGCAATCAGAGGAAACTCAATGCTGGTGAGACTGCAGCTTAAATACTGTGTCCTATTTCACGCCCTCCCGGGTCAAAAAGAAATTTGAGAACTTGGAAAGCATCACCAAAATGGCCTGGAGCCTCAAGGATGATGTTTGAGAAGCAGGTGATGGAGCTGGGTTTGTTTGGTCTGACAAAGAGGCAGCCTAGGGATAATCTAACAGCAACCAAAGCTGCAGGCGCATTACAGAAACA